GATGTTTTAATGAAATGTGCTGTTTACTTAAGGTACCTTTTTTGGCGTGTATATATCATGACTGTTGCTGTTACCGTATTGCTGTGTGCTAGAGAAAATAAACCACTGAACCAAATGCTGGGTTTTGAGCGTCTTTCTTACTGACGTAGAATATGGCGAAAGGTGCTACATCTTTCGTTTACCTTCTCGGGGCGGGGGGGGGGGGGGGGGGGGAAAAAAAAGAAAGGGGGGGGGGAAGTAAAATTGCATTTCCTTGGAGTTTCCCCTGCCGGGGAGAAGGAGGGGGCCGGGTTAGGGCCGCCCCTCTCTCCGTCATCGCGGCGCGCCGGCTGGGCGGGCCGGGATGGGCGGGATGGAGGCGCCGGCGGCGGGTCCGGGGGGAGCGGAGCGGTACTTTACGCGCTGGTACAAACCAGGTACCGCCGGGCTGGGGGAACCTGGGACCGGGGCCTGGGCGGCGACGGGGCAGTGACTGGTGTTTGTGCCCTTGTTGCAGACGTGAAGGGGCGGCCGTGCGAGGACTTCTGCGTGCTGCAGCACTCCAACAGGCGAGTGGGGCGGGGGGGCTTGGGGTCTGCCCTCTGCCCGCCGGGTTCTGACCCCCGGGAAGACTCTGGCCTTGCTTTCCATTCAGCAAGGGGAAGTGGCGGATTCTGCACCTGGGATGGGGCAACCCCGGATGTACGTACAGACTGGGGAATGAGATGCTGGAAAGCAGTGCCATGGAAAGGGACCTGGGGGTCCTGGTCGATGCCAAGTCGAATCTGAGTTAGCAGTGCCCTGGCAGCCAGGAGGGCCAATCGTGTCCTGGGGGGCATAAGGCAAAGCAGCCGGTCGAGTGGGGGAATTGTCTCGCTCAGCACTGGTGTGGCCTCACCTTGAATATTGTGTGCAGTTTTGGGCACCACAATGTAAGAAAGATATGAAGCTCTTAGAGAAGAGGTTCTGTACCTAGAGTGTGGTTGGGCACTGTAACAGGTTCCCCAGGGAAGTGGTCACAGCACCAAGCCTGACAGAGTTCAAGAAGTATTGGGATGATACTCTCAGGCACATGGTGTGACTCCTAGGGATGGTCCTGTGCAGGGCCAGGAGTTGGTCTCCATGATCCTTGTGGGTCCCTTCCAACTCAGCATATTCTGTGATTTGTGTACTATGGATGGCGAAGGCAAGATAGGAAAATGTCATGCATTGTTTCTGCTTGGCTGTAGCTGGATATCCATTTATTTGGAATAAATCAACCTGCGCCTGATTTGGAGTCTCATACCTTACCTCCCTCAGCAGCAGCCTGTTGGGGCATTGGGAGTGTTTCTGGGGTGTTTGGTCCCAGAGGGAAGAATAAAACCTAACTACTATCTACACAAAAACTGGCAGTGCCAATGGCTCATGTTGAGGGAAGGTGAGGCTGCATTTGTGTTCCCAGTGGGTTGCCTGCTCCTGTTAAGAATTCAGAATAACAGGAAGAGCGTGCTTGGCACAGGGCAGAACCATCGCCTTGTTGCAGCCTTTTGGAGCTGGAGCTTCTCTGTGGCTGTTTTCTGCAGTTCTTTCTCATTCTTTCAAAACAAATCAGAGTGCCTGTGAATAAAAGGCCTGACAGCAACGGCAAGAAAGGCCACCCTTGCATATGTACTAAATATGTAGTTACTAGTCTCAGTTGTCTGATATAAACAGTACTTTAAATCCTATTGATGTGGGGGAAGAGGAAATTAAAATTTGTTCAAATGTCTATGAAGATTGTTTTGCTACTCTGAATTGTGAAATATTGGCTTACACAGAAGCTTAGCCAAATGCTCTATGAAGTATTTTACCCTTATTATGTGTGGGGCTGTAGCTCAGTTTGCTTTTTCTAGGCAGTATAAAATTCGGGGGGGATTTTTTTTGTTGTTTTGCAAGGTCTCAGCTCCAACAGATGACTGTTCAAATAAATGATTTGCCATCTCCCCCTTAGAAAGAGGCTGGAGTGAAGAGGAGGTAGCTTTGCTGCTGGGGCATGCTGATGCATTCACCAGGATCCAGCTCCCTCTTGCGGGAGCTGCGCAGCCAGAACTCCCTAAGAGTGTGTGGAGATGGATGCAGCATCCACAGGGAAAGATCTGGTTCTGTGCCCTGGTTTCCTCTGCAGTCACTGTGCTGTTAATTCTGATCCTTACTGTAGGTTTTATGCTCCTCTTGAACAGAAAAGCTTCATCTCTCTTCATTTACTGGCAAGTTCTGGGCTCTCCATGCTTGTGCGTTACGCATGGTTCTGGACCAGGGATGAAGACAGGCCGTCTCTTTAGCTTGGCTTGTCTCAAACTGTCCAGTTTCATGGCAAGAAATAACCCTCCTTTAGAAAAAGATGAAATGCAAGCAGCAGGTTAACTAAAGCCCAGATCACTGAAGGATTTATCTGCTCTAACTATTCACTACAAATGGCCTTTAGCTGTTCTGAGAAACATTGCCTTGCATTACATTTTGTGACAAAAACGTACTGTGCTCATACTTGTTTAAGTGAGTATCTACTTCAGCTATTAGCTGTGAAGTGAACAAAGTATGTTCCCACAGGGTACATCAACAGGCAGAACAGCTCTAGCTTATTTAAAAGCAGTAGTTCTGTTTAAGTAAGAAGTGTAGTGCTTTTGATGATCCTGTCTAATATCTCAAAATGAAGCACCTTCTATGGGAGTTTTAGGTCAGAGTGCAGTTTTCATTTGGGGTGGCAGAGCAGGCATCAAGTAAGATAGGGAGAGAAGGTTGTGGAGCTTGCTTAGAGCACAAGAGCATGGCTTCTCAAAACTGTAGCATAATACTTTTATTTTTTTTTCAGAATCTGTGTCATCACCTTGGCAGAAGCCCATCCTCTTCTTCAAAGTGGGAAAACAATTAAAAGTATTAATTACCAAATCAGTGCCAACTGTAGCAGACTTCAGAATAAGGTCTCTGGGAAGTCAAAAAGGGTATGGCTTTTTTCTTTTGTTAGTTTTCATTTTAATCTCTCATACTGCCTAAAACTTTCTGTCCTTTCTAGGATAGAAACCTAGGAGGTTACTTTTGTATTGTATTTTAAACCAGCCCCTCTACAGCTGAAGAATTTAGACTTCCTCAAGAGGTGCCTGTCTGGCTGTCCCAGCCCAGGTCTTGGAGTGCTCCTACAGCACCGGTGGTTTCCAGTGTTGCTCAAACCCACTCACTTTTAGTAATTTTTTTTTTTTTATCATATACAGAGGGACATAAGCATCCCTGAAAAGACACAAATTTATTTCCAGAAAAATGCCAAGGATTTGGAGACTGCTGTTTTTCTCAAGCTAGTCTAGGCAGCAGATGGACCAGTTTAGTGTGTTTCATGGTGGGTTTTTGAATGTGTAGTTTAACCTGCTTATACTGAAATCAGCCATGCTGTTTCTTCCCTGATTTTAATCTGATCAAACTACAGGTCTGCTATTCTGCAAGAAACTTAATTATGAGTCAGTCTAGAAGCCCTTAACAAGCTTCTGTTTGATTTCTGCACGTAACTAAGTTGGCATCTTCCCTTCTGTAGGGAAGCGCAGCTCTGTAACTTGCAATGACCTGTAACTATCACACATCCTTGCTTTCTGAGAAGCTTACAAACTTATGTTGCTGATGGTAATGCTTTTAAAACCCCTGTGTCATTAAACTACATATATATTTATTTATTTTCCAAATGCAGGGAGCTCAGTTTTTAACAGAACTTGCCCCTCTGTGCAGGATATCTTCATCAGATGGAGAGGAATACACCATTTACAGGTAAGGTTTTCCCCTTTTTCTTCTTACCTTGACATACTATGCACATCTACTGAATCTAAACACTTTTGCAGTTGTATACGAGGGCGGCTGATAGAAGTGAATGAAAACATTCTTAGTAACCCCACTCTTCTGCAAGAAAAGGTAAGACACTTTCTTACTTTTTATTTTTAACTTTTATTTCACTGCTTACTTCAGTCTTGCTTTACAGCCATCAACTGAGGGTTACATTGCAGTGGTTCTACCCAAATTTGAAGAAAGCAAGAGCATAACTCAAGGACTTCTGACGCAGAAGGAGTACGAGGAAGTTTTATTGAAACGCCGTAATTCTTCTTCATGAAATCAATTCTGCACTTATCATCTGTACTTGATACTAAACAAGCTACTTTTATTGTACACTGTGAGTTTTGTAGTATTGAAAGACCTAGTGCCAGTTTTTAAAAGTGGAACTAAACTGCTTGATTCATACAAGAAATAAACCAGTTCAAATAGTTTGTATATTAAAATTTCCATACTCTTTTTCTCTAACACTACAAGTTCTTAAATAAGCTCAGAATGACATGTTGGAGTATTTATGTTCCACAATCAGTTTTGCTTAATGCAAGCCTAAAACATACAGAAAAATCATATGAATTAGCTATCATCAAATTCAGCTAAACAAAAACAATATGGAGTTTGACCAAGGTGAATTGAAAATAAAAATGTAACAGAAGCGTAGGTACAAAGAGCAGATAAACTTGAAAATAAACATTTCACACCAGGTTGTATTTTCATGGCATCCTGAAGTCAAATAATGCCCTTTGTACAGAATTCTGTAACAATCAGTATCTATTTTCTTAAATTTTAAATGGTATAATGTCAAATCTGCATAATACTTCAGTGGTTCAACATGCAACTCAAATTCTCAGTAAATTTTAATAAAAAAGGAAGCAACAACTACCATCTACAAATAGAGAGGGTAACAGAAAAAGGATTTGAGTCAAGACTATTAGTCACTTAGAAATACCCTTTCGTAAAGATCAGTCATGTCATCAAGATTAAAATTCAGGGGTGCAGCTACTGAAAGAGGGTTTTTTTTCTAAAACTACTTCATTGCAGGTATAACTCGTAACTAAGATAACATTTCAGTGCTTCAGGCCATAGCTTTTCAGACTATATTCCTGATTCTGCTTTATCAAATATATAGACTGATATAGGCCAGAGATGAGTTTACAGACTTCAACAGTAGTGTTACATATAGCATATGCAGCACAGGCGTCTTTACATAAAATGTCTATTAGCAGCATCTTTGGGCTGAAACATCCAGTAAGACATTCATAAGCATTAATTACAAAATCGGTATCAGTGAGCATAGGAAAGGCATTCACATTATAAAAATACAGAAGATTTAACTAGTTGGTGTTGTAATGGCTAAGTAATGGGACATCTATTAGATGTGACAAAGGCCAACAGTTTCATTTCAAATTAACCTGGCTTGACTTTCCACAAATGAAAGCAATATTGAAAATTCAGGAAGTGTTATTTTCAAATGGGAGTTCCTGCATTTCTCAGTGCTATAATTACTTGCTCTCTAAAAACGTCATGTTTGTTACATGATTTTCTAAAGACTTAATGCCAAATGTCTCTGCTCTCCTTTCTGGAGTATGTGCATTTGTACCAGTTCGTATTCTGTCTTCTTTCCATGGTGGAGCAGGTTTAAGGCAACCATTTCCTGCTTTATTCTGTGTATATATAAAAAAAAGAATATTTCTTAAAAACAATCAACCAACCCCAACGAAACAAAACCCAAAGCGTATTTGAAGTAGTGCAGATGAACCAAATACTGACCTTTCTCAGTAATTTGAAGCAAAGTGGAAGAAGTTGGCATAATAGAGTCATCACATTCCTTGTTTTCAGAATGCATGCATCAACCTAAACAAGACAATAACAGTAGAGCAAGACCACTCATTATTTGTATTAGGCAGTTGTTTTCTGCATGAGATGGTAATCTACTTTGAGCTGGAATAAGTAATATTTGTCCTTCTGAAATCTCATGTAATCAAATGGTTTTGCCTACATTTTTATAAATTTCTCTATATAGTACACGTAAAACAAGAGCATCCTTTCTGTTTAGCCAAGACTTGAGCTGTGATGCAGAAGGGAGTGACACACATCCGAAGAGAATGTGTAATTCTGTATTAACAATACAATATTAAACAGTAATAGGAGTTTCTTGGAAAGGAGCTCTTGTCATCTAAGTATGAATCATCACAATTTTTCATTATTTTCCCTTCTGTTTTATGTCCTGTCAGCATGCTTTAGAAAGCCATGCATCATGAAAGCCTTACTTTGATGTGAGTTACACTAAGAGTTGTCTTAAATCTTAGAGCATTTGAGTTCATGCCTCAGGTCTGACACTCAGCACAGATTATAAATTTGGGCCCTTTACAAACACTAATTTGAGAGCCTAGTACTGCTATGTAGTGATACATCACTGTATGAACAGACTGGAGTTCCCATTCCGTTTAGAGAGTGTAAAACAAACCAAGAGGTAGCCCCAAGGTGCTCAGTTTGGTTCTGAGTGGCTTTTATGCTCTATCTAGTTTTAGACCCTGCTGTAAAATTGTAACACCTTTTCCACAGTCAGTTGGAAACAAACACTCAGGTGCACAGAAGTCATATTGCTCACACTGATCATACTGCTGCTCAGGGATACTTCGGTTCTTCAAGAAACCTGACCTCCATTCCCCACTTAGGTTTGCAAATCTACTTCTTGTGGTAATTAACAATGCTGAAACTTTCATGGCAGCTGTATAGGTATTTATTTATAGCAAATATGAATATTATCAGAAAAAATTCCGGGTAGTCTAGGGTACACTACCTACCTACTGAGAAGCAAGCATGTATTTCAGAAATAGAGCCAGGGGGTTGGAATTTACATTTATATATATTTACATTTTTGTTAAGCATTAGTAACAACAGAATAACAATAATTATTACAGTGGTGGAAATACTGAAGTCCACAGTGAGGTATGCTTAATTACAGTTCCTATTTCTCCGGATGAAATTCAAGTGGATTACAGTATTATTACTGCAATCTAGTGGATTGCAGTGTAATTGTATGCAGTATTACTCCATCTCTTATTATTCTGCTGAAAATTCTCATTTGCAGCATGATAAAATCCCAGTACTTCTCTTTTTCTAGTGGGTAAGGAAGTGCAGTCCAGGAAAATCATTGTCTTGGCAAACATTTCTGTAAACTCTTTCAGTAACAGTAATTTCAGTACTTTAAGCAATAGGAAGGAAAAAATATCCTATTACTTATTTTACTGATTCTTAGACTCAATAAGTCAATAAAAGCTCAGAGTAGGGAAACTGTTCCTTAAAACATTAATATCAATTATATGTCTGTGGCCACTGGGCCAATTACACAAAACTTGATATCCTATGATCCCTAAAAAAAATTCACATAAGCCTGTAGAGTAATACCATCCAATATCCAAGTCATCCAATGACAGGCTTCCAATGTATGCTGGGTGCCAGTGTACTGTATTTTGCCTCCTATCAAACAAACTCCCAGCATGAATGAGTGGATCAGGTCAGGATAAACTTCAGTGAAACCCTTCTCTGGTAGTAGGGAAAACAAAGAAAAAAAAAATAAAAGGCCAGAAGACAACAGCACCCACGGTGGAGAGAATCCCTTCCTGAGACAAGGCAGTGCAGCAAATGGCTGGGACTAGTTAACAGTGAGGGGTGTCCCAACAGACAAAACATTTTCAGCAAGGACAGCAGTTCTTATGGTTTTTCCTCTATTTTGCACATCAGCTGCTCAAAACATGTTAAGTGCAAAATAATACTTTCGTTCCTCTCCTACACAGGGAACAGCAACAGTGACATACTGCATAGCAGAAAAATGCTTGCTCAAAAGCACAAAATTTTGTACTTATTGATTTTTATGATCCTCTCTCAATCCAGAAGCCAGTCAAGAAGTTCAGCTGTCATGAACTGTTCCATATTTTAACAGGAGCATAAATTAGTAAATTACTGCATTCCTAAACAAGTTAGGCATTGCTTTCAGGAATATATATAATTTTTACCTTACCTTTGTAAACGTAGCACTTTTTCCCTGAGCAGAAGCTTTTGCTGTTATCTGGAGCTGCCTGCACACAGAGATGAGTTTTTCAGCCTCCAACAGAAGCAAAGGCTTGTCATCCTCGTGTACCTGAAACATGGTTCAGGAAGACAAAACAACTCTGTGTTAAAGATTCTGACACTAAGTTAACAGAGGAGACAGCACAGCCAGCTTTTAAGCACTGGTGTCATAAGCTGAATGGCTCTTTTAGAGGTCATACCTCACCTGATCAGAAAAACCATGAAGAGCTGAAGCAAGCTTTGTGCCCTCTGTGGCAAAAATCTGAAAGGAGGAGAAAGCATGAAAGAAAATGAACCACAATGGAAGTTTTTCCTCGTTGTTTTAATAGTGTGCTATAAAGTAAAAAGGTAGCAGGAAATACTTGTAATTGTTCTATATATTTATAATTCACAAGTCAGCAGTTTGCAGTGACTTCTGAAATAAAAAGCTACATTACAAACTGCCATCCTCCCAGATAAGTAAAGCTTAAAGGCTTTTCCTTTACATATAAAACCCCCCTGATTTCCAATTATTTTTTGCACTGTGGCAGCTCACAAATTTTTTGTGAGTAGATAACACCTGCTGTGTTTGTATATTGTCCTATCAAAGGTAACCAGTCTCCTGTTACACACAAGCATGCAGGCTGGACACAAGGAATCCACACATTCCTTCATTTGGTCCCTTCTTTCTGTTTGTATTATGCAATTTTTTATACCCTCTTTCTTTCCCAAGAAAACACTGCTGCTCAGACTAGGATCGAGCAGCACTATATAGTTAACATTATAAGGGACTGAGCTACTACTAATGTATTGAAGTCCACTGATATGTGCCATATAATGCCATAATTTGCTATTCTTCCTCCTATCTGGAATGTAACGCCTATTGGTATAATGAATGATGTCTCAAGCTACTACTGGAACACTGAAAAGTTTGCTTTCAGAAGGTAAGTACCAGAGTTAGGCTGCTTAAAATCTACAGCTGCCAGTCAATTCATGGTACCACTGTACTTATGTGTAAGGAATCAGAGACTTAAGTTCCAATTTCGCCTTCACTCAGAGTGCCTACCTCCTGTTTTGTTTAAAACATATTACCTCTGCTTGATGAAATAAATCTTGAGTAGTTTTCAGAAGACCTTCTCCTCTGTGGGAAATAAAGAAAGCAGAAGATATGCCATGTATAGACTGCAGATTATTTTGCCGGTTACTTGCGTAAGTTATAGTCTCACCACTGAATATTTTACAGTGCACACCACTGAACTGTAAAATATCAGTCTTTTAGAAGATACTAGACACAACAATAACTTATTACAGGAACTGCATTTCAAAATATTATACCAACACCTCAGTAGCTAGAGCACTATTGGGGGATTAGCAATGGCTCAGTTCTCTTAAGCTGAACAAGAACAGAAATCCATGTCTCTGGCATAGTGAATATTATTGGACTAGTAGCTTAGAAGAAAAAAATCTCAACTCTTGCAAATAAAAACAAACCTAAAATCTTCAAGTCAGAAAGCTAACATTACAAGGGTAAGTTTCAGAACAACTCTTTTCAGTACAGCAAAGATTATATACCTGTGCTTTAATTCCCTTGATTTTCAAAGTATTTATGAACATACTTCTTAAAATGTTTTCTGTCCTCAAGAGATATTTAAATAGACATGCAGCAGCCCTTTAACCCCCCCTAATTTTATTACTAAACAGCTTAGAAATTTACAAAAAAATTATAAAGCTTAAGGATAAAATCAAGTTTGTTTCTGAATGGGTCCCAATTATTATACTCCGAAAATGAAACTATCTTCTTTCTTATAAACACTGTTAATGCTCTTCTTCCCACCAAAATTTACTGCATACAATGTAATTACCTGGTAAATAAATACATGGAGTAGGCCATACTTGACATGCCTTGTCCATGTTGCACAATCTCATTCTCCTGATCTTCCCATTTCTCTGTCTCAGAATCCACATCAGATGTGAGCAGATGCAATTCTAATCCAAGTTTTGCAATTTTTGCCTGTTCCTGTAACCATATTTATGGTACTTGAAAACGTATTCTTCAGACAAGATAAAAATAATAAAGGAGGTTTTTTACGAAAATGATGGCATCTTACCTCAGTATCTAGTTTGACTGGCTTTAATGCTTTCAGATTTGCATTATGCTTCTGTTTCAAACAAAAATAATATTTTTAAATAAAAGGAATTGGTAATCATTTTACTAACAAATCACAAGAGGTAGCTCTATACTCAGAGGAAGACTTTGCAGGAGAGTTCTAGTGCTTTACACAAAATTCTCAGTAGAAACTGAGAACCTGTTCTGTCTGTCCTCCTGAAATTAGAATGTGCAAACAGCATCTGTGCCCTGTAGATGCCCCGAAATTTCAAGGAAAAGACCTCTTCCACAGTTCTTGGACTCCACTTCCTAATGCAATACAATCTCTTCCCCTTACCCTCTAAATCTTCAATAATACTTGGGACTAAACAGTCTCGATCAAGTGCTCCTGCACTGATTTTTCCATCATCAAAGATGACACTATGTAAGAGGGAAGTTGATTTGGCTAGTAGCCAGCTGATGTAGGCTCCAACCCATGTAAATACTAGTGTAGCTCATTATTCTGTGTCCCTTTGCTGAAAGAGCTGGTAACAAATAGCGACACTTTGATTTTTTTCATGGGTTTCCTTCTGTTATTTAAGTCATGAACTATTGTCTGTCTGCAAGCCAAATACTACCTCAGATTAAACAATAATTAGTGCAGTGCTTGCCAACTGCATGACACACTTGTGCAGGAATACATAATTTGTTTCAAATTAATTTGCAGTTCCTGGCTTTAACATTGTGTGCTGGTGCTGTCACTGGGCAAAGACACCAAATACTAACAGATGTGAGATCCACAGTCCACGTTCAGAAACTGCACTGGATTGCAGAGGAATAGCAAGTACAAAGTTGGTGTCCTAACTTGGAGAGGTGTGAGACAGAGGAAGAGGATGGATGATTTCTGAGAAGGAGAGCAGGACTGAGACCCTTGTCTGAGAATCTGAAAAAAGCTGCTGTATTCATTAGTGGGAGTACTTGGGCAAATTAAGCTCAGTAATGCCTGAGGGGGAAAAAAACCCCAACACTGTTCATTGTGAACAGCATCAAAATTAAGCCCACTGGCACCATCTCCATCTCTCGCTTCAGGAATCTGAGCAAAAGTAAAATACTATTACTGAATTTCCTACTGCAATTTGGTGCTCAGTTTAGCTTTCATGCCATTTCTCTTTTTTTCATCTTGAAATGTTTAAATATTCTGAATCTTATGAATGTCTCCCCTGATTAGGCACTGTAATTCTGCCTATGTATTAGAAATGCTGATCTCATACTGAAAGATTTAGCACAAAGGGTAATAACTGATACTCTCAATTGTGATTTAAATTTAACTATATTGCATATTAGAGATGCAATTTAAGAAATGCTGGTTTTAAGGCAGCATCTTAAAAGAAGAAAGGAAGACAAAACCAAACTGAATTTGCATGTAAACACAAATTTTGTGCTAGAAGGTATCACAAATATTTAAGGTGCAAGAATGAAGGGTACTCAAGAAAACCAGCCCTCTAGCACAGGTTAAGCTTTTCTATCTACAAATAACTAAAGAAATCTTGTAAAGTTTTCGTAGTTTTCTCCACTCTACTGTTCACTTGCATTATTTGAATACTACGATTGTTAAAAAAGCAGACAAGTTATTCTGCTTTTAAAACATGATTTGACACTTAATACTATATAGAAAAAAATATACCCATGCAGTAAGCACACACATGAATCAGCACTGCTGCTCTGGTCCTCAGCTCTGGCATGATCTGGGATGCCACTCATTACCAGCAAACAGTACAGTTCCAATTAAACAGATGTAACAAAATATGTAATCTAATTAGATTGACAGGAACAACATGGCCTCTGTGCAGGGACAGCATGGGTGTTAGCCAGGCACAGAAGACCTCTGTGCTGACAGTAGGGAGAGAAGAGGCACTACTGAGCATAACAGCACTGGGAAGAGAGGCAGTTCCAAAGCTTAATGCATCAGTTAGGCAAAGAAGTTACTCTGTGAAGAGACTCTAGTGTCTTATGGAAGTAATCTACATCTCCTGTCTACTTTCGAACCGTGCATTTATTTTAATTCCCCCTCGATGGTAAGTATCTTACAAAACTCAAAAGAAGGCAGCAACTTTTCAGAGAATAACAACGCAGAACTGTTTAAATCTTGGGCACAAATTTTTTATCCAGAGTATTTTAAAAGGCGTATGAATCAACAGGTGGAAATCTGACTTCAAATTTCTCTTTAAATTTTGGTTGAAGTCTAGGAGCTATGTAGCTTCTAGACAGTGAAGGACAAAAACCCTATCAAAAGTCACTGAACCAGTCTGTTTGCAGTTTCAATATTTAGTTCCCTAACCGTGGAATTCACCCATGCTCATGCAGCCAAACATTATATTCTATTTAAATCTGCAGATTGGGTTGATAATGTATGAGCTTTTCTCTTCTCCTTAAGGGTCAGGAGTAGTATTGTGTTTGAAGTTACAGAATTACACAACAGAAGACACGGAGACAGGGGATCATTTCACACCCAAATTCCTGAACACTATGGGTTAAGGAAAGAAAGCATGGAGAGAAAGAAACAAGCTAGAGGTTACTGTACTTTCTGAGATCATTCTTTCCTTTTTTCCTACCCATGAAAAGATTCAGTTCATAGCAAGTGAATGAAATGACTGATGACATGATACTAACAAGGTTTAGAAGGTTTCCTAACATACAGATGCTCTCAGAAAGAATGTAATATCAATTATAATCAGCTAAGGATATTCAATATCTCACACCTAAAACTGCATATTTGGTGTAACTTTTTTCTCTACATTAAACACACTTAAGATCACAGAAGGAAACAAGAACCCATTATCTGAAGAGCCTACAACAGGTTCAAACATCCATTGGTTCCAAATAGGTCAACTTGGGCTACAGTGTTAAGTCTTGGTAATCTTTTTTTTTTTTTAAATTTCAGTATGTTGAAGCATTTTCTTACTGTTTTAATAGTAACAATGCATCTTTAAATTATACAGCATGACAGTAGAGGTATGTGATAAGAAATGTCATATTAATGAACAGGAATTAAAGTTCATGTACAATCAAAGTGATTAAAGCACATTACATAACTAGTTACCTTAGTCTTCAGTCTGTTTATTATTCATTTAATAAACTGACAAAGTTTGGTATTTTACTGTCAACCATCCATCCATCCATTCAGGACTTGTTACCAAGATATTGCTATGTCCCCATCAAGTTGTGATACAGAAAATTCAAACAGATAAAAGCAGATATAAAGTAAATACAACAAACCCAACAGCAACTTACCCCTGGTCTGGGCAGTGACAGGTAGACACGCTTCTCTCCTATGAAGAACACACAGGTTTATACCAAAATTTGTATGTAGATTTTAATCAATGGGATCAAATGCCTTACTTCATCCATCCTTAAATTGCAGTACTACAAAAGCAAGTTACTTACCTGTAATTTTTCCCCTCTGAATATCGCAGATCTTTGTCTCATGCTTTCAGAGAGACAGCCCAAGAGCTCTGTACTGTTCAGATTTTAGCTCCCAGCAACTGGCAGTTAAGAAAGCTTCTCTGAACAGCTTCCCTCAGTAATATTTCTAGTCCCTTTGCTTGTATTCCATAGGGAGTAAAGCAACTCTCTCCAGTGACTCACTATTTACATGCATTCATTTTGTTGCAAAGTATAGAACATGCAGTGGGTAGCTCCATGTAAGGCTTGTCATGGCATGGGTTGTATGGTCTAAAATTTGGAGTAGACACTGCCACTGGTAAGAAATATGTAGGCAGGTTTTTCTAAAAAATGCCAATAAAACTCTCATGTTGTACTGTACTATATGTATCCCACATGCATTGTATTTTATAAAGAAAAAAGTTCTACAGCATTCTACACACTTATTCAATTGTTTCTTTTATCACTGGGAGCCTCAAATATTCCAAATCTGAGCAAAACAAACAGGAAAAAAAAAAAATCCTTTTACGTGCTACCTGAAAGTTCGTAAGAAGATTTTATTGAAAAGAAGAAACAGCCTGGGCTAAAAGCCTAGGATTAGAGCTTCAGCTACCAGAAGCCTTAATGATCTATGAAGACTTACATTTATTGCAATAGATTCAGGAGAGGAAAAGCTGCTAAACCAAATTAAAATAAATAACAACCTTAAAAGCTAGTAAGAAATAAGATTTTACTCAAAAAACCCCAAGGGTACTATAATGGATGTCACTACCAGGTTTACACAGAGATGATGCATCTCAACAAAGGACGAGCAACAAACCCTCCTACAGTCGCTACTTCCTCATCTTGTATCAGCTTCTAGAGAAATTCCATTGTGAGTCTTCAGAAGACAGTTCCTTTGTGCATTCATGATTTTTTGAAAGCATGCCCCTTATCTCCTGACACCACAGAAAGATTGTGAGCTCCATGTCTAGGCAACTGATTCCTAAAACCCAACTTTTAGGACGTTGACAAGTGTCCCTCCACCCTCCTGATAAATATGAAAAATGTAACCTTACTTTCTAAGATCACCTCTTCCCCTACCCAGTTTTGCAAAAGATGAATGAGCTATCAGGGAACAAGCTGCCTAACTATTTTTTTTCAGAATGCAGAGTTATTCAGATATTAATTGCCCAAACATGTATCCAAGCAAGATTTCTCCCTAAAGACTGATACAAATTATGAGAAGTGATTTACAATATCCCATGTATCAAAACATCAGCTAAAGGGCATGTAAGAAAGCATGTAAGACATACCAAGAACAAAAGCTAACTTGTAATTTTAAAATGCTGCAGCATAAAAGATCTCCTTTGGAGCTATGTCAAAACTTGTGCCTTGTTAAAAAATAAGTTCAAACACAAAAAGATTTGACATAATAAATGGAATACAAATGCATACTGAGAAGACATGCTTCTCACACACAAAAGGTCAACATTCAGAATTACAGAAACCAAACAGAAATATGTAGCAAACAGAAATAAGAAAAAACTTTGCCTTTGCTCTTGAAGTAATTCCCATTATTTGGCTTTGCAAGGTTTAGTTGCTCATATTCATTTAGTTGATTATATTCAGAAAGAAGAAGGATCTTACTATTTATATCTTGGGACAATTTTTATAAAACCCTAAAAACCAAAAAACCATGCAAACAAAAACCACATCTCACTGGACGCACAGATACAGGACCTTTCAAAAGAGCAGATCAACTCAAGGCAGAGATAATTCTACTTAATCAGAAAATACTTAATTACATCACTATAATCACAGAACTTTCATTTCATTAACAGAATACATATATATAATTTTTCAGGTATTTGATTTTCTTAGTTTGTGTGTCAGATCTTGCTATAATAATATGAGGCTTTTTGCCACATTATGATCTTTTAATTTATTTGAGTCTGCCTTTGCTTTCCTAATGCATTTTCTCTAACATGTTTTTCCTTTTTTAATTTTTTTAACTTATAATTTATTTTTATTTCTTCTTGTCTTCCAATTTTATGCTTTCTATTAGTTCCAATCATGTCTTTCCCTCCAAAGTGCATCTATTTCAACTTCCAAATCCTGCTTTTCATGTCACTTCTTCTCTGAGAGGATGGTAGCATCCCCGCTTCACTCTTCTTTCTAGAATTCAAATTTCTTCATTCTGAAATTCTGATCTGTATTGCCAATTCATCAACTACGGCCCTCCCAAATCGTCATGGTCATTTAACTCCTCACAAATCAAGTGGGCACAACAAAAGAGGAGAGCAGAAAAGTAAATTATCTTCATAAGCCATTCTCTCACTTCCGACCAAGTTATAAGGGAGCAATCAGAGAATTATTTATATTCTTATCCAGCATGTTGAAACCAAAATGTTAGGAAAAAAAAAAAGAGACTGGTTGATATCCAACAGCTTGGATCGATGAGAGGTACTTCTGTCAAGTGATCCATCTCAAAGTGCAGGAGTTTCAGAGTTAAGTATCAAAGTTAAAGAAACAAAATGATCCTGCCTGGGCAGAACCAAACCTCCCAGCTGGCAGGAGCCTCCCTCTTGAGGAGCCTGTCACTCTCCTCAGCCCAGACCAAATACAGTGACACTGAGGAGAATGGGCCTCACCGCTGGATTAAGAAGTGGTTTAGGTCTGAGTAAAAGAGGGACAACTCTACCTCCCCACACAGTTCTGCACAGCACAGAAATATTTTCAAAATACGCGAGGGTTACTGGGCTGTGGCGTCTCACCAACCTCCCCTACCCCAACATGCCTGTGTGCCCTGCTCCCTAAGACAAGCCCATTTAAATTCGGGCATGATCTGGTGTGATTGTATTAAAATTTAGTAAAATACTGCTTCACTTTCAAGCTAAATACAGCCCTCTATCCAAGTGAGTTTTGAACCTCAGTATGAGAAATACCTCATTTGCTGTTAAGAAAAAAAACTGGATAAGGAGCTATGCAATTGCTTGTAAAAATAAAGAAATTAGTATAAACAACGTCAATCTAGTATAATCCGAAAAATGCCTATTTTATTTTTTGTGTCCAGCACATTTAGTCATCGTTCAATTTTTGCATCTCAAGCTGTATTCCGAACTCTCTAACAAAGCCAAACATTTCCATTGGTAGTACAAAAATACAGGTTTTTAAGCTGAGGAGAAAAAAAATATATACCTCTTACTGTAATTCTATATTTTGTTACACACAATCACAATTTTACTAGGAATAAAGCACTTGATATATTTTAGTCTTTAAAATAAAGACACTTTTAGCAACCTCAACATTAAGACAAGTATCATGAATTACGAGAAGAATAAAGTCTTATGAAACAGTGCAACTTCACTGTGTTCAGAGGCAAAAGTTTTGTGGATGTCACTCTTATACTCTCTTAGCAAACGAATATTTTAGTGTCATTTATTTACTGGGTCACCAGTTGTATTTTTTAGGAGACTGTCCAAAGTGTCAAGGTAACTTTAGGGTATTTTCCGGACTACTGGGAGAGAAGGGGGTTCCTCCCCACTTTTTTTTTTTACTGACAAGGGTCAATTTGAAGTCCAACAAGAGAAAACAAGCAAACAAAAACAGATTAGCTCACACTACAAAGGAAAACTTTGTAAAAGATGGGTGGATATAGGAGACCAAACTACTTCTAAGGAGATAACTGATGGCTAATATGAAACAAATCAGATTCAGAGAGAAGGCCCCTACTAGGCTGGTCCAAAAGACAAGGAAAATGGAGACATGATCTCTTAAGCATTGTTTTGGCAATGCAAGGCCTAATGTACCTGAGGTCATATAGAGAACATAAGCTACGCTTAGTATCTTACCAGTGGTGGTATCAGAACTGCTGAAAGACTGAGGAAATGAGAGATGCTAATAAAAACAGACTCATATCTGGCTATGCCAAACAGGAGAAGGTAGTCTTCACCTAGCTCTACGCATGAGATAGCCTCCAATTTGAACCTGTCCATTTCTTTTCTCTCCTTCAAGCAATGACATTGGGTTGCCCTTGTGAAATGATGCTTTAAAGAAAGTGGAAAGTGCCATTTATGGAAAATGCGTTATCTGCCATCAGCAGCCCCAGGAGAAAGTTACTAACTACAGAGGAAGATGGGCACCTCACATCAAGAACAATTTGTTTGGAGAGCCAAGTATATGCTTTGCTGTGGCTGCATGATTCTCATCCTATTATTTTTAAATATAGCAATATATGTATGTATGCACACACGCACAGATAGATATAAATACATAAAAAGGTTACCATTCAACCCTGCTAGACCACTGTATGAAAAAAATCAGATACTGCATTATCAGCCCTAGAAATTCCAAATTTATTCTAACACATTAATAATAGAGCAATATCATAATTTAAGTTTCATTTTATAAAATATTATGTTTAAAGAAAGTGAGTATGTCCCTGGCTCCCAAAACAAACCAAAACCCGCTAAACGTTAAAAGGCCCATAAACAGAATCTCTGACTGCTACACATATTTATGTGGCATCCCAGACCAAGGTGGAAGAACAAGTAGGATAACAATCATGTATTTCTCAAAAGTCTCAAATTGCCAATAATCTGTGCTACACACAAGCATTGTAAACCCACCTAGAATTTCAACATATGTTTCCCTTCTACAAGTCTTGAGGCTCAGGCACACACTCATTTAGCAACCAGCAGCAATAATTTAAAATATTACACTCTGTGGCTGGTTACTACTGTGCTCACAATGCTGGCAGAAAAGAACTGCTTACACAAAAAATCAGGTACAGAAAGTTAAACTGACAAAAAAAGCTCCAAAAATGGAAAAAGGTCTCATGTTAATAGGTCTCACGTTAATAGCAAGATGAAGTATTGTATCACTGATAAAGTGTCATCTAACCTGAATAAGGATTTACTTTTTCTGTATCTTAGATACAAAAAATTAAGTCCCTGTATTTAACTAACTCTAAACTTTAAAACCTGAGCAATTCTCTTAAAAATACAAGACATTCAGTATTATTATATATTACATTCTATCTGTATACAATTATACCTTAAAGACTGAAACAAACACATAGCTGCAAGAAGTATGACAGACTACACTAAAGACATAATCTGGAAAATATTATGTTGGACAAAAACGAAAAACAAAATGTCTTCCATTTTAAAGGTAAATTATCCTACGCTAAAAGTAAACACAGAATTTTCTCCTTAAGATTCCAAGCTTTTCTTCTACATGTTGTACAAATACCAATAAACTTACCAACCAGAGCAAATATCCCAAGATTGTGCAGAGTCGTCAAAGATTCCATCCAGGAGGAAGGACAGCAGTTTAAAAATCAAATAACTACATTCACTACTTTATGAAGTGAATACAAGGCAAGCTGACAGTATAGAATATATATGGATATATGTATTGCCCTAAAATACAGGAAATTAATTAAATATGTCACACAGTTTAAGTTGTATCTTGACTCTCATGAGCTGATATGTCTTAGACAAACCTAAAGGTGGGATGAAAGCCCTACACACCTAATATCTGGACACTGGTGGCAAAGAGCTGTGTCTAATGCATTTGTGTCCTTTCAACAGTTCCATCAGATTTTGCTAGAACTAACCACAGTGCAGAAAGTTAAACATACCTAATCATACACAAATCTAGACTTTAAAATTTTTGGCTGCTTTTATTTGAAAAAATCCAGTAAGCAGCCTGATTCAACATCTATACAAAACTAATATACATGTGTATTGATACCTAGATCCCAGGGGATGTGGAACTGTTTCTTGCACTCTTCTCTTAAGAAAACAGTATTTCCTAAATCACACTTAAAATTCTTAGATTATGTGTTTTGAAAACTACATTTTTCTATTTCCACACAGCATTCTTACCTCGTCTTCCTTCAAATACATCATTGATTTCTCTCAACAATAAAGACATGTCACTCAGTTGAGACTCCCATGCCTCGCAGAACACCTCAAGGTTTTCTTTTGCAATCTTGCTAGATGGGTGTAATGCCAGTGTTTCTGCAGCAGAAATTATCTGGACAGAGAACAAAGCATTTGCTATTGCAAGTCCTAGTACATAGCGTTCCACATGAATTCACAAATGCCTCCACAGGCAAAACACAAAATTAAACTGCTATTATTATGTCTTTGTAGCGTAGTCATCTGACATTTGCAGGCTTGGTGATCTTCCTTGTGCGTTCTTTTAGCTGCTACCCAGCATTAAAGTGTAATTCCTTCTTAGAACTGCTTTCAACATTATATTTCCAAAAAATTCACACAAGTAATTTTTATTGATGTATTATGTTTAGTAGAAGTGGTCAATTTGAAAGTTAAACATACCTGTGGGCCAGTGACCTGAAAGGTGTCTTCTGCATGTATGCAAGTAATCTCAAGGGGCTCAGTTCCAGAAACATGCCTCAATAAGCGACACATCTAGATTTTTTTTAAAAAATATGAAAAGAATGGTAAAAAATATGCTTTCATTAGTAGTGAGAAAAGATGTACATGCAAAAACCCACACAAACAAAAACTTCTGACAGTCCAGAAACTTACAGGGAACCACACAGCTGGGTGTTTCTCATGGAGCATTTACAATAAAAATTCTGACTTGGAAGGTGTAGAAAACCACTAAGAGAAACACAATTCTTAATAAATAAATTAAAATGAAACAAAAACAATTTCACATATTTATGACAGAATAAAACTGAAAGCAATCACACATGTATAGAACTTGGAAATATTGTAGCCTAAATAATTTCACCAGAGCAGGCTTATTCAGCAATTAGCAATGATGTGGAAAATGTAGGCTTTCATCATCCAGGGGACTGAATTATATTTGAGCAAATCAGCATCAAATTAGTTTAGAGAAGTAATACTGTTTCCTTTCACAGTAAGCTAACATCCTTTTTTTTTCCTTCTTCATTAAGACTAAGAGTGAACTTTTGCTCAAGAAGGAACATGGAATTTTTCAGATCAAAAGGATTTTCTAAGACAGAGACAGCACTTATGAAACCTACTGCACTGTCCATCAGAAATGCTCACATGCAAACACTAAACCTCATGGTTATGACTGAAAAAAAAATCAGTGTCTCACTGGAACGCTAAATAGTCACAGATAAAGGGGACATTAAAACTGAAATCAAAAATTCACAGCATTGATCTGCTAGTCCTGTAAGTTCAAGGGTATTGCTTCTGCTTATTCATACTTCCTCAAGCCCTGTATAATATATTTTTTTAGAAATTAGTATTAGATACCACGCAAGTACAGCTGCTGGCTTTCATGACCCATATTTCAGATCAAAGTGATCTATCTTTGTATGTCTCCTACTTGTACAGGTACCTTAGCTCACAGCAACAAGGTACAGGTGGTAGACATCCTCTCCACAGCCACTCCTATAAACCACGATGTCTCAGTACTCAGAAGTCCTCTTTATTCATGTGTGAATACTACCATACAAAACCATAAATGCATCAGTCCATGGAACATACAAACTGCTTTTCAAGAAGCAGAAAGATTTCCTGTGGCTTTCTTGACTGACACAAGACCTTCAAAATGGTCAAATTCACTGAATTAAGAAACTTTACCATATAATTTCCAGCATTATTGTATATTTGGATTCAGCTATTGCTAGATGCCTCCTGTTTGAAAGAAAAGGGTTATCATCTCTTCTTAGATCTAGAAACCCATTTTTTTGTTAATATTTTAGACTCAACATATACATACAGATTGAGTCTAGATCCAGGAGGAGAACTGGGTACAACTGTATATGCTTTCTACAACACCTGTATGCCACAGTGACACCTCTGGCTCAGACCCTACCAAGAACAATACAAAATTCAGCAACATACCAGGAAAACAAAATAAAAAAAAAACACCAACACAGACCAAAGCCTTCTTAAAGAACAGATTGATGCAAATCCAGCCACTCATTTTTTAAGTGTCTTACACAATGAAAGGTGTTGTGAACTCACCTCAACAAGTTGTTCTTTCTGCTCTGATAGCTTGCAAGTATATTCTGCTACAGCTTCAAGATTTCCTTCTACTCCTGTGATTTTTAATGCTTTGAGAACCATATGATCTGTATGGTATTTTAGAAGATCTGCTGCCAAAGATGTTGCGGCACTGTGGACCTTGAGTAGCATTAAAAGGAGAGATAAAACATGGAAGGAAAAAAATTAATTCAGTATGAAGTCAAACAAACTTAAAAGACATACTGATTTTTCCAAGAAGCAAAATTTTACTGCTGTGAAAGCTCATATACAGCTTGCTTATTATCCTGGGTTTTATTTCTTCTATTACTATTCAAAGTACAAAGGTAAAATGCACAGCACTAAAAAAAACAACAAACCAGCACAAAACAATAAAACTTCCCAAAAAACAGAACAAAAAAAATAACCAACAAACCTGCAATCAAATGTGGAGGGAAACAAAATAGCAGCTGGGTAAAATGAGGACATGAAGTTACCACACTGCTGCTTTCTGATTATGTTACAGATAGGGAAAAAACAGGTGCATGAATCTGTGGGTCACCAAGTTCAGCATAAGCAAGGAACAATGTCCACTGCACTTTTTATAAAGAACACACATTAAACTGTGTGAATCAGACTGAAGCCACACAACGTATGAATTTATAATACCTTAGAAATTAGAATTATCAGTGGTGCAAAGAAAAGCTTGACAATTATATAGCTTGTGACACAGCCTTAGGAAAGTAAAAGTCACCTTTTCTACAAGGAGATGGGTCTTGGAGAAGTCTCAAACACTCACACTACCAAGAAGAAAGGAGAAGGTTCTCCTTTAAACACATCCCTAAGTCCAGACACACTTTCAGACCCATAGATGTGCTGAAATTGTGCTGTGAAGGACTCTGTTTGACAACAGCTATCAATGACAGCTGCTGCTAGTTCTAGTAACCAGTCAGGAGGTTTACCTGTGCCCTTAAGAACAGAGGTAAAACCAAAACAGCAACCTCTTTAGAAAGAGAAGAGTACTCTTATGCTCATAAGACTATTATGAGTCTTGTAATATTGCCCTCACTTTGCTAGACTACACTGAATATAGAACAACTTGGCTGTTCAAGGAAAAAGTATTTTTCAAGCTCTTACAAATGCAATGAGCTTGAAATTGATGCTGTAGAGAACGGAATGTTTACTGTAATGATATGCTGGGGTTTTTATTTCATTGGACTGTATTTATTTTTACCCCTTTCCCTTGGCAGTACAGTGTAACCAGAATTAACTTTCTCTGGATTTGTTTTTTAATTTCACAAAAGACATCTGAATTATTGCCTCAAAACCTGCTGCAACTGTTTTCAGAGAGGAAAGAAAACAGCTATGACAACCTGCTATAAACTATTTATATAACATTGCCTGTATGGCATTAAAAATTAGCACAAACCACTAATCTCAGAAATGAAGTCAGCTCTGAAGAAAGGATATGTGAAAGGCTTGTAATGTTGAAGTAGGAACTAGCAATTCTCATTTATATATAGGCTACATAGAGATTACCTTTTCATTAGAGATTCTTTTCATCATGATCTAAGATAGAAACATACTTCTAGTTAAGGCTGTCTCTGATCATTAGCAGGAAAATCATCCCAAGGAATGAATGTAACTTTCGTTTCTTCCATAAAGAGACAGAGATGGGAAAGAACTACTTTTAACAAGGCTGTCTTGTGTTCTCAGCCACTCAGTCTCTCAAAAGCTTTTTAATTAGAGTCATAACACTTTCATTTTACCAGTGAGATCCTGGTTGCTGATTGATACACTGCAGCACCCCAAGTCAGACTGTCCTGTCGGTCAGTTCTCCTCAGCCATGTAAAGAAGTATGGCTACTTTGGGATCAATTCAATCATTACAGAGAGAACAACAAAAATGACATAATACTCTAAACTTACTTCTAAGCATAGCATCAATCCTGTGCATTTTAAAATGGCTCTTACTAAAGCAAGCTTTTCGACTCTATAAGTCAACAAAGCAAATAACAGAGGACTTAGGATTTGTTGGTTTAGAAATCCACACCCACTCAATTTGCTCCACAATTCCTAAAACAGCGTGCTATGTTTTCACCTGCATTGCTTTTAATATGGAGCTACATCACAGGGTACAGGTAACCTACCATTTTGTATTTTATGCCACCTTTGTTAGCTGGTTTACAGAAGATAATTTTCTATTTTTGTCACCTGACAAAGTTCTTTAAGAGTGGTACATGTGCAGTCTTTGCTGCACAACATTTTCATAAATATAAACCTGTGATCAGGCTGGTGTGTTAACATTTACATTTACAGAGCTGCAAGAAAATACAAGATATTAATGATTTCTTCCACGTACCATATTCCAGCCACCTGTGGCTTTACGATCTATGAGATTACACATACTAATCTGACTGGGAATCATCCCTTCTACCCCATTCAGCACCCAGGAATGATGTTACTCAAAAATGATAATCTTACAGTTAAAGCAGCTGAATGCCACTTTGGAAAAGCTCTGTGACTGACTTCCTACATAATGGTGACCACATCACAAACTGTTAATCAAAGAGTACAAATTATGTACCCTCCACTTCCTGGGAGCCCAACATGCTGCCTAAGAGCAGAAGTGCAAAGCACTTTACTGAAACTGAAATGGATTCAAAGCACTGTTTAAATCTTCAGGACAGCTGCAGGAACTACAATCCAGAAGACAAAATTTCTCATTTCATCTATATTAAAAAAAAGGAGCATGATTTTTTGAGCAGTTGAGGTTTTCCAGTTACAGCAGCTGACAGCTCAGCCTAATAAGTTCACCATGCTTCCCTAAGATCTTTGCAGTGCTCTGTGTTGAAACCCTCACTGTTTTAGTCTTCATTTCTCCATCTGTTTAAAAGAACAGTAATTTGAAGCAGTTGAAAAGATACCTGAATGATTTGCAAATATTTAGGAAGCTGCCAGAAACCAGTAATTCTGTATTTGACTCAAATCTGTGTAACAGATAAGGCAGCAATGCTATTCCTTACCAGAAAGGGGGAAGACCCTGATCAGCAAATGCAGTCCATCCCATGTACCAAATGAAGCAGCTATTCTATGTGTATATGTAAGCTGACCCCCAGCATATTTGCATTTAGGAAAAGAAACATGATTTACAACAGGCACATACACAGCTGCCAACAGTAAAGAAAAAACTCCAAGTATAAGGCACTGACATAACACATTTCTCCTATAGAAATCAATAGAATAGGTTAAGTACAAACAAACTGCAAATGTAATTTATTGATTTAGGTGCACACTACAAGAAAAAGTATTTAAAACAGTGACACACAAATCTCCAAGGCAACTTTGCCTTTACATTCAAAGCAATGATTATATGCATAGTACTTACTTCCAAACACTTCTTTTTTGTCAGTTAGCAATGAGCCCATGTATCCAACAGATTTCTAATGAGTAAGGACAGAGAAGATAATAGCTCCCTGATGTAATTCTGATGTAGCTACTCTTTTCTATAAATAGATATTAGCCTTTTTGGGCGCAGGATACCATTTTACAACTTCACATATAACAAGTAAAAAATCCAAACTCAATTTACCTTGCTTAAGCTACACTTACCTCTCTTTTAAGTTCATTCATGCACTGGCATGTTTTTAGAATGGCTACTTCCAAGTCTTCCATGAGATCCTTTGTCTTCTGGTTTTGCTACAAGCCAAAGAAAGCAACAAACAAGACATTAGACAAAAACCCCAGCAAAACCCACCTTCATGTCATGTGTCATTAGTTCAAGTAGCTTTAGAAGATGGCCTTTTCCTTCCAGATGAAATGTACTCATTTATACATCCTGTGTATATCCTAAAATTCTTTCATAGAAACATTCGTCACAAAATTAAAACGAAAAATAATAGTGGTTCAATCTAATTGACTGCTTCCATTCAACAGCAATTTATTTCTAAGTCTCACTGAGTTTTTCTTCAGGAAAAGGATTTCCTTAAGCTTCCCAATTTCCTAAAATCTTCTGCCTAACCAGCCTAGAGTAAAACAAGAGTTTAAGGCTTTTTTTTTTTAAATCTTTTAAAATGAAGTGATACCTAAAATGTTATACCAAATGTTCTATATTGAATTATAAAAAGACTCTCAGGAGTCCTTGAGAAAATATTCACCCTCCAATGAAGCTATTGAGCTGAAACTAAATAGCCATTTCAGTGAACTGATGCTATTTTATCTGCTACTGTGTCTTTAGTCACAGCTAGGCTGGGTTATTTATCAATAAAAATACTTAAAGCATAAGCACACACATGCATGCCGAAGTATCTTCATGGATCATATATATGCATAATCTGGTATAAGGCTCTCATTTCTATCACTTGAAATATAGCATGTAAATTATCTGGAGGTGATCATTTTCCACCAGTAATAAAGCTTAGAAATACCCAAGTGTCCTAGTTTTGGCTGGGATAGAACTAATTTTCTTCATAAATCTGGCATGGTGTTGCTTTGGATTTGTGATAAAAGCAGTGCTGACAACATGAGGATGTGTTAGTTATTGCTGAGCAGTGTTTACACAGCTGCCTACCAGGGCTAACAACCAACGCCAAGCTAAACACAGGTTTAGTTTCTATAGTTAAAGGTGTCTATGCAACTAATATTCTATATGTGTCTTGTTTGTCATAACAATATTCTGTTATATCAGTAAGATTTATATGCCCTTCAAACTGCACTACTGCATTAAGAACACCTGACTGCAGTATCTGATTCAAAGAGATAAAAAGGAACAAAAATGCTTTCTCATAAGTAATACACTCAATTAAGTAAGTATCCTATACTAATACACATCTGCCATATTTCAGAATGTTGGTAAGATTTTGTGCTATATGTTTCCCAGAAGCAAGACTGAAAGCAAGTCAGCATCAAAACCAGAAACTGCATTTTCCATCTCTGCTTTTCCTCTCTCTTTTGCATGTATCTTCTATCATCTTCAAGGAACAAGACAAATGACAAGAGAGAGGCTTAACATGCTTCTTCTCTAAAAACTCCCATCATTTAAATCATGTAAAAAAAGACAAACAAAAATAGCTTCTAAGTCTTAGTGTCTCTTCCTCTCTCCACAAGATTGAAAAAAACCAAGTCAATTTTTTAGAGTGTTTCCCTTTCCAATAGTTTAACTGTTTTCAATATTCTGTTAAAAACAGGAAACAAAACTGTGGTCACTGCTATGGGATCAAGACAATCGAAATCTCTGAGCTACTCCAACAAAATACCTAACTGTTTATGACTGCACAATGATACTTTGGTTCACTGCCCTGTTTCCAATTACAACTTCATTAAAATTAGTCTACTGCCACCAGTAGCCTAATTTAGCCATCAAAGAATCAATGAAGCAATAACACTGGGGCAAGGGGAGGACAGAACATATGGAAGCTGCAGAAGCACAGAACAAACTGTGGCTTCCTTGATCCAGCTCTCACTGTGAGGAATACACTCAGTTCTCTCTTCCCAGAACAGAAGAAAGACTGCATCAAAAATTTCTTTCCAAAGTAGAGGTGAAAAGATTTACTTTGCTAAAAAGCTCTTACAGCTTGCATCCACACTGAAACCAGCTGCTCTAGTTCCATTTTAGCCTGTTTAGACAGCTCCAAAATGTGTTCTCTGTGCTCATGACTGGTATAGGCAGAGTCTGTGAAGTCTTCTGTATGTTCCAAGATAACTTCCAGCATTGTCGAAAGGTTCTCTTTTGAGAGAAAATAAAGATTCTCACGAAGACCCTCCACCTTATTCTGAAAAAGAAGCATATAAATTCCTTGAGAATTTATGTGATCATACAGTTGCGATGCAAATGCAGAAAGCAGAGGCATCATTTTACATTTTATTTTTCTCCTCAATGTTTTCTTTAGTTATTCACTTATTTTCAAAGTAATTCAACAATCTGCTTGTGCCCAGACCTCCAGTTTGGGGTCTGGGATTTGGGATGATTTCTTTAAAGTGATAATGCCATCAGCAAATTACTGGCCTACCAGGAGTAACAGCAAATACATCACTGTTCTACTGCTGTCAATAAAAAGTTTTTAAGTTTAGTAAGTTTCAGAAATTAGATGTGTATTCCAATTTTGTTTGATCTTTGCACATCCATGTCATCTATTTTGAGTAGTTTTCTAAAACTTTGTATGTAGCAAATTGAATACTCTGAGGCACACTGCAAAAATTTCAATTGAATTCTAAAGGGGGAAATAGATAAGTAAATAAATTAAAACAAAGTAACAAGCTCAAAAAGCAGTAAGACATGGTGTTCATTAATCATTCTTAACAGAGTATGAAATTTAAAAATGCCTTTATGAGGAAAAAAACCAACTGAGCTACAAGATAAATTTCAATTCAGAACATTTCCTTTGAATGACAGCTTGCTCTTTGAAATGTTTGTATGAATATTTTTGTCTGCAGTTTTACTAAGTAAGAATTCTTGAACAACAAATATTTTAATGAAGGTCTGATCAGATCCTGATACTTCAGTTTATTCAATGTCAAGGCATCACCTCAACAGAACATTAGAGTTCTGAATGCATACTGATTCAAAAGGAGATGGCAAGTATCATGAGGTGTATTTTGGCAATGACTTTGAAATTATAATCCCTTCTTGTCAGATTCTCTAACATTTTGGGACAGTTATTTAAGTTAACACTGCTGAAGAGATGCAGCTCCACAATTTACATTTAAAACTACTTTTTTTTTCCTAAAATCCTAGTTACGAGGTACTTTATTGGCTGTAGAAAACAATATAATTTCTACTCTTACCTTGAATTCTTTGATGCCAGAATATATGCTGATGGGGGCCATTTCATTTTCTCCATTTGGTCGAGAGTCAGTTACAATTTCTATTACCTGTTCCAAAGCTAGTCTCATCCGATGAAAAACTCCATCTTTGTTAATACGAGCAGATTCACAGTCTGGATGCCGCAGACAAGTCTTTTTAAAGAAAGTAAAGTAACTATTATGAAAGACTACACATGCAGTATATTGAAATGAAAGCTTCCTATTAAGGCAAGTCTAAGGAATGTGTTAGAATATTATGAATTCTTTCTATTAAACTGCTGTTAAGTAGAATTCACACCCCTACTGAGCACATAAATGTTTTCTTTACCCATTCTTTACTCTTACATCCTTCTTTAGCACGAAGTTTAAACTAGGGCTGAGAGAGGAGAGTTGGCTATCCTGCCAGATGTCATGCCCTGTGATTTAGCCAAGTTGTGTAAGAGTGCACATACTCACTCACCTTTGAAGCAGTCAGGAGCATCATGGTGCACTTCTCAAGAACAGCCCTAGATGCTGCCATTCTAGCCTTTTTCTTCTCATCCTTCAAATCCTAAACATCAAAAGAAAGGAAATGACCTGAATAATACACAGTATCTAAAATACTAACTGCTTGTGAGATTGCACAAAGGAAACTTTCTAACAGATGAATGGGATGTGAGAAAGCTTCCCGATGTCTGACAATTGCTATTTTCAGCCTAACTCATGATCTAGAACTTGCTTTTCAGAGAGATTTTAATTTATGCATTTATTCTTGGCTCTATTCAATTCAGATTTCAAAGAAGGAAGATCTCAGAGCATGTTATGTAAACTGTTGCTAATTTTGCTATCTTTACCATATAGCATTATTCATAAAACAGAAAAAGGATGGGAAAAGAATACCTGACTGAAAATATTTTCTGAAACGGGAAAAAGGCTAAGGCAGAGGCAGAGAACACCTGCTTTTCATCATACTGCAGTGAAGGAAATATAAACTAAATCTTTTTTCTACTTGAGTGTTGTATTTGCTACGTACCAGTAATAAAGAAAGTCTTGACAGGCCAAAAAAGCAATTCCTCTGTATTGCTCTGCATTGAGTACATAAACTTATCAAGAACTGTCCAGGGAGATGGATATACCTGCAAAACTGAACTAACTCCCCAGTAAAGTTCATCAAAACGGAAGAGTTTAGACTCCACACTGGGATGTAGGGGAAGAGGGCAAGACATGAATCCCTCAGCATATAAGGATATCTAGCAATAGGAAGAACTTTGAAAGCTACAAGTGCAATCTTCTCACTGCTCACAAAGATAGCTGAGTGCTATCTGAGGCAACTGACTGGGACTGGTTGAAAAGGGAACAGTTTACATTAATGTGCCTACATTAAAAAAAAGGCACACAAATAAATCACTGCAGCAATCTGTTTTGACATTTTTATAAAATTTGTATTTAGCAACTACAGAAAATCTTTTAAAATCAAAATCACCACATTAAAAAAAACACAAACAAAACCCAAAAACCAATCAAACGACAAAACAGGTAATTTCTGAAATTCTGACATTACACTCCGATAATTCTGATGGCACTCAGGAGTTTCCAGCATACTTAAAAGTACTTTGAGGGATATTTCCTCACAATAGGACTAGCAATGCCACATATCAGGCTACACATTGTAAACTGAGTATATCAAGAAAGCAGACATAATTTAAAAAGTGGTAATGAAACAGTCTTTCCAAAAGAGTCAAGTAGGAAAGGAGGGGAAAGCAGAAGAGGAGTTAACACTGAAAACCCAAAACAGTTGAAAATAGTATCACTTACTAGTAATGCATCTTTCCCTTTTAAAGGCACAACTGCTATCAATACTTCAGGGAAAAATAGAGTTAATTTCCAAGCAGAGAGTTCATTTCCTTTAATTATATGCAGCTTTCCAAGAAATGGTTCTTTGAGACTGCACATGTACTTAGCAGACTCAGCACACATCAACAGTAAAAGGAAACTCATGAGGCTGGCCAATTGTTTATACAAACTGAATTCTGAAATTTGCTGGATATTAGGGACTCTCTATATCTATACCAAACCCTGGTTCAATTCTGAATAGGGGACTGGATTGCCAAGGGAAAGCAATCTGAGCTCACAGCAGAAGTCTTAAGCCTCACAGCAAATCCTTTATTTACATGGAAGTTGCAGGGAAAAAAGCTTCCTGCATGAATGAAAGGTTTTGATAGAGTAGCTGCATGTAAGAAGTAAGAAAATCATTGCCCTAACATAAGAAAGTTTTGATCTAAACCTAGAAAAATATTCAATAATAATAATAATGAAAAACAAACCCTAACAAGCCACCAAGCAGATGCTTTATCAGAATCTAAGGATTTCATGTTTGGAGTTTTCTAAAATAATTACTCTGCTTTCAAGTCCCTTCACTGTGTGCACAAATCAAATATTTCTGTCAAGTGACAACAGACAAATTCTCTACCAATGTAAAGAGACAAAAAAGTTAGAGCCAAAAGACAGTGATTGAAACCAAAGGACACCACAAATAACATGCAACCAGGCATCTGGAAGATATGCAGATCAAACAATGCAGTGATATTTCTCAGGCTGAGCTTTAAAATCAAAAGATGTACTTTGGGTGGAGCAAGGACAGGTTAGGTTCCAGAGACAGGACACCAGCAATTGTTTTGTTTCGTTAATCATCCCAGAAGAACTCAAATCTTTCAGATAATAAGATGAAAATTACACTGTGCAACATCCCTCACAACCTTTTATTAATACTTACATTTTGACGATCTCCAGTTAAATGGGCAAACTCTACCATTTCATTTCCAAACTGGCTGAATATTTGTACAAACTCCTGGAAACTACTAACTTTTTCTAGTTGTTCCATTGTTGCAAGAACCTGCAAGATAAGGGAAAATACTGCAGATCATCAAGATTCTAAACAGAAAATGTTATTATTAACCTAGGAATATCACTATTTACAGGAACTTCTAAATGGTGTAGTTTAAAATGCATATATTTTGTTACTATTTAAGCATTAATAACTCAACAAATGGAAATCAAGTGTAAATTAACAATCATGCTTCATTCAAAATGAGTAAATCTGTTGTCAGCCCTCAGAAAACATTGTCCTCATTTCTCCCAGTATCAAGACTGACAGTATTACAGGATTCAGCTTCCAGATTTAGGAAAAATGTGTTTTTAAATTTAATATGACAGTAACAAGTACTTGAAATTAATATGCACATTATATCCATGTTGTAACTCTCAATTTCAAAGTTCAATTTCAGATGCATAACTTTCAAAGTCTAAAACCACAGTTGCAAAGACAGGTGTTTCAATGGCTCTGTGTACTAAAAAAAAAGGCAACAGAATTCAACAAAAGTAAACAAAAAAGTCAGAAATTAGTTAATACATAGTTTTATACTATCCGTAGCAATTTTCTCTAACTTTGGAGACTTTTATTAGTTGTATATAAAACAAAGAACTAAATATATCCAAGTTGTATCAAACTCTTACTCACAATACATTAAAGCATGTAAAACCAGCATTTTTTAAGAATATTCAGTAAAAATTATCATATAGCTTATAAATTACTGAAGCTATCCTGTGAAGTCACTACAATATGGTTTATAACAGAGATTAACATCAGGGTTTTTCAGGTTAGATTTATACTTGCTAATCTCAAAGTGACCTTTCAAATCCATTAAAAGTCTTCAGAAGGGAAAACAGTCAAAGCAGTTCTTTATTGTTTTTCACACTGGAGATAAGATACCACATAAAAATTCAACAAACTGAAATTTCAAGGGAGAAACTTCAAGTTATTCTTCCTTTCCTACGCTCAAACTAAAAAAAGCAGTCTATATTCTGGATTATGACAAGCTACCCCCTCTCTGCACTTTAGGTAAACTCTCCTAGAAACACCCGTTCCATTGTGGTAGAGCAGCTGCTCAGTCTCAGCTGTAAACTACGTAAAGCAAATGTTCCACTAAATCCTGTGACTACTGTGGAACTGATAGTTTTATCGTGCAATATTAGACCGCAGTATCTGTCTGAGTATATTATGTTATGCAGCCAGTTCCACAAAGACTGTAGAATAAGGACTTTCCTGATTTAGGTGTTGATGTACGAGTAAGGATGGAGTATAAAGAACTTCGAAGGAAGGTGCACAAAGAGAAAGACGTGAAAATAGCAGTATGAGAGTGGAAGGAGAGAACCACAGGATTGGGAGAGTGAGGATGTAGAAAAGAAAGCGCGGAGAAAAGAGAAAACATACAAGCTGAAGTCCAACTTTCTCTTCTAAAAATGGACAAAAGATTAATTATGATCTACTGTTCTTGTTTTAAGCAAGTATAGTATTTCATGAGTATGGTCTTGGTTGCAAACAACTCTGTTACAGTTACCCTAGAGCAAGTGTTTCTCTCATGACAAACCTCGTCAACTAAAAATTTCAGTGAAAGCACATGCATTTCCATTACATCTAATAATTCTAGACATCCCAGGTAGAGCTGACATTCCAAGAAACTGTACAGACAGCTCTAAATTTGTCTAAAGGTTATTCAAGAAGCTGCTGCAATGCAAAATACCTGTGACGTCTTCATAATTTTTCATTTTAAAAGTTCTTCAACATGGAACATGCAGATAGTAATGAAAATGTACATTTTTAAATACAAGATTAAAAATATGTAACAAAATAAGGCTTTAAGTTCTTACTAACATCTAAATTAGCACCTGGTATTGCACAGCTACGGCAGCAGTATGAATGTTGCCTTTCAGACAGCGGTCGTAGGCTGACAGCACTTCAGGGCACATCCATATTTTGATCCAATCTCCACAGTGCAGCAGCTCCCCCACGACCTGTCACTTCTCTGCTCATTGTTCTGGCACTCCTAACCTGACTGGTGACAGCAAGTGGAGCAAGACCTTAAGCTCACTGATGTAATGACTAAGTCTGATGGACAATAAAACTAATTTTATAAGGCGGAAAGATGTAGGTAGGGACAGAACAAATGCACACAACCTAAGAATACAAGGACAGTATATATGGTGCAGAGGATGTAGAGGCAGGAACAAGATCATTGGGATCATCAAACAGAAGCTGGGTTCTGGAGGTGATCACCACTCCAGAAGATCTCAAACACTTCATCATTCTGTGTAGTTGGATGTCCAACCACTAAGCTGTTTTTCTATCCTTTGCCCTTGGTTGACTTGATTCATATGAGGAAGACGATGATGACAATGAAAATAAAAGGTGTTTAGAAAGTGCTTCAGCAAGAAAAAAAAAAAGGCAATAAAAGTTTAACACTGGGCATTCAGTCTCTAAGATAAAAATGGAGCTGAGATCTTCTGGAACAGTGACCCACTTCAAGAAGCCAGAGTCTGTTCCTGCTGGCAGTACTGATGATCCTACCTTTCCATCCTCTATGCCATATTATACTACACTGTCTCTGAGTATTTGTGTGCACTTCTTAAGTCCCTGCCCATGCCATCCCTCTACCACAACATTTCTTACAGGAAGAACTGCTTTGCTATCCATCATAGTGTCTGACACACTTTTCAGGAATGTACTCTATAGAAATCAGGCCTCTAAAAGACAACATCAATTGTTTAATTAAATAGAGATGTGAATTGCCCTACTGGTACCATAAACAGAAGCCAACTTTCTCAAATATATGTGCACTATGCACAGAAAATGAGAATGTACTAAAACTCAAAAGCTCACAAACACTAGCTGTGTCCTGGAGGCATCAAGCAAAGCATCACCAGCTGGTTGAGGGGGGTGACTGTCCCACTCTGCTCTGCACTGATGTGGCTTCACTTTGAATATTGTGTGCAGTTTTGGGCATGACAAAATAAAAAAGATATTAAGCTCTTAGAGAGTGTCCAAAGGAAGGCACCAAAGATGGTGAAGGGCCTCGAGTGGAAGCCATATGAGGAGAGACTCAGGTCACTTGGTCTCTTCTGCCTGGAGAAGAGGAGATTGAGAGGAAACCTCATTGCAGTCTACAGCTTCCTCTTGAGGGAAAGTGGAAGGGCAGGTACTGATCTATTCTGTCTGGTGACCAGTGACCCGAGAGAATGACATCAAGCTATGTCAGGGGAGCTTTAGGCTGGATATTAGGATAAAGTTTTCCATCCAGAGGGTGGTTGGGCACTGGGACAGGCTCCCCAAGGAAGTGGTCACAACACCAAGGCTCTCTTGAGTTCAAGAAGTGTTTTGACAAAGCACGCAGCCACATGGTGTGGTTCTTAGGGTTGTCCTGTGCAGGGTCAGGAGTTAGGCTTCCATGATCCTTATGCATGATCCTTGTGAGTCCCTTCCAATTCAGGATAGTCTACGATTCTATGACTATAGCAGTCAGAGTCAGATATGCTTACTCTGGACTATGAGACTTCGCTTGAAATACCTTCAAAATTAAATGCTGCACCTATGCTTACTATATTCATTTCAGTGTACATATGACAATATTTTCATATATATTTAAAATTATCAGAAACCATGCTCGTTGCTGAAATGATATATTCTTCCTCATCCTTTCATGATGCATACACTTGCACAGTTGCTCTGTAGCCTAAATCGTGCTACCACCGGTCACTTTTGGAAAGGTATATTAACTAGGATTATTGCATTATAGACTGCAGACAACAGCAGAAAAGCAGTAAAAGGTATTAAATACACCATTCTGGTCTCTAGGGCAAGAAAAGACCAAAGCTGCAAGTAACTTCATCAAACTGATACTGATGAAAATGCCGCCACCTTAACCAACCACTGGGAGATGAAAACAGCACAAAGACAGCAAATCAGGAGCAGGTTATTTTTGTTGGTTTTGAATCCTGGACTCAACTAAGTGTCTTGGACCTAGGAGCTGCAAAATAGAAATCAGCACATCTGAAAAGCAAATTGGGACAGAAGTACAGCGACATCATGAGGAGTCAAAAGAGGAAAGAGGGGTACTGCTCTGGATTATGAATTCCAAATTAATGGAAAACCCCAGGCCTTATCAGGTTCTCATTTTTCAAACATGAGGGTTTTCTATTTTTGTTTTAGCACATCGTGAAGAAAAAGAAATGGAAGAATATCCTACAGGCAAGACAGTGAAGTCTGCACTGCATGAGATGGATTATATTTGAGGTTAAATGGGCCTTCATACATTATTTAAACCAAGTAGATTCATGCTAAGTTTCAAGACGTAAGTTAAACTGCGTAAAAAACTTTTAATCTGTAAGCCTCACATCTCTAGCACAGAATTTCATATGCATTCCTCACAGTTTTTTGCTTAGACACATCCATAATGCTCTCTTTGTCTTGATCCTGACAGTACAAACATCCTGTCATTAGCAAGGAGAAGCTTTTATTGACCATTTTACAGACACGCACTTTCATGTAGAAGTAAACCTGAAGTTATATAAGCAGTAATACAGCATCTTCTACAGCATACTAAGTCAATAAAGCAATAAATATGGGTCACATAAAATGTAGAATCACTGAAAATTGTTATTCTAATATTACTGACTTACAGCCACCTCCTTTCAGATACCTGGTAGATAAACATGTGCAAGACATTAATTTTTACCTTTTTATTTTAGACTTCCCCTAGAGATATAATGAAAATACCACTTCACTTACCACCACCCTTTTGCACTGCCTGCAGGTATCAGTTAAACAAAATAGAAAAGAAGCTACAAATACCTTGTTTCTGGAAGTTATAATTTGCTTTATAACAATTCTGTCTGCTAACACCAGCACCTTTGTGACAGAAGAAAGCAACAATCTTGCAGCTTTTACCACACCCGTTTTGTCTGTAAAGATTGTTATGTGGCTATCAGATTCTGGATGATCCAAGCTTGCCACATCTGTAAGCTGTGCAATTGTTTCACCTAGAAGAAAAAAAAATAAGTTAAATTTTCATACTCAGAAAACAGATACTGGGCCATTAAGCATTCTTAACTTTTACCTTTGAGGGATGAAACAATTTCAGAGCTACCCACAACTCTTTTTTATTTCACTTCACTTCCTTTTACTGACTGTTGGTGGCACCCTCTCCATATTTAAATTTGGATTACTACTCAGTACTACCTTATTCTTCCATCTGTAACATACACCAATTTTTTTACAGTCTACAGATATTTGAGTGGGGAGTGGAGTTGAGCAATGTGGAGGGAGAAAACACTAATGAGAGATACGTTTTTAATAGCAAAAGTCAAATCAGTGTCCACACTTGCAGCATCAACCCACTGCAAGAGTGGGATGCAGCAAGGAAGAACTACAAATTCCCCTCCACTTTCCAAATTTCAGTTAGCATTCCCATAATTTATAGATTTCCTATTCCTTTAGAAGTCTTCAGGCATGAATAATAAAAGAGATTCCAGTAACTTTATAAATTATAAGACTGAAGCATTATAGTGAGACTACCGCACTTTTTATTCTAAGGAGGGACACTAAACAGCATGCTGACAGAGAGAGGAGACAAAAAAAAAAAGGCAATAAAGCACTGATTTTCAGTTCATCATTATCTTCTTTTTCAATTTGCATTTAGTTAAATAGATAGTAGTTAAATAAGCTTAACTGACCACTTTTATTTCTTATGCCGCCAAAAATTCTGCATCCAGTGCAGCCAATGGATCTGCTTATTTGAGAAAAATCACAGACCCTATCCAATTAAATCTTCTGGAGTACACTAGATAATAGTGCAATAGAGAAAAGACAGGGCAGTTTCCTATTCCATTATCACAGAAAGGCTGCTGGGAGACTGAACTCAGGCAAGCTCTGAGACATGCTTTTGCTTAGCATGTAAGACAAGATGATCAACCTACAACTGACCTATAGATCATCCTTGAATCTAAAATCTAGAAGATTTGATCAAGTTCCCTAAGACTCATCTTAATACCTCAGGTAATTCATCTATGCAGACAAAATACTCCAAAAGCCTGATAAAGCCACTGCTCCCGTATGAAAAACCTGAGGGTGCATTATTCTGGTACTCCACAAATACACACAAACACTACAGGACAAGACCTGACAGTCCTTCAAACCACAGCGATTCACACTGCATAACGTTCATGTATAGATTTCTCTCCTCTGGTAATTGTATTCCCTTGGCTTCTTAAACTGCCTAAATAGGTATTCCACTATGGCAAGGAACTTTCAGGACTTTTGCCAAGACCAGGCCAGGTTATAAAAGGCATGCTCCAAATAATCAGAGGGTCACTCTAGTGTAAGCATGCAAATATGATAAACAGAGTACAGTCTGAGATGGTGAGTTCCCCAGCTGAAGGGCCTAAAAATAAGCAAGAAGAATTATAAAAGTAGAGCTACTATTCTAACAGCAAGGGCAGCCAGATGCACTAACAGTGAATCTGTAGGATGAGTCTCCAGTCAGGTAATGAGACCATTTAACAGCAAAACACACTGGCCATTGCCTTCTCCACAGTCCAATTCATTTTGGTTCTTGCCAATGTCTGCTTGCTCACCTTTGTCAGCTAATTAATCCCAATCTCTTCCTTTGACCTCAAAATATATGAGACAACGCAAAATGGTGTAGAAACATATAGAGAACAATTAAAATAGATGCAAAGTTCTTTTGGTAACCAAGAAAGGATGCACAACATTACTATCCCGTTTCTTATGCTGCGGGATTCATCTTCTTGAAGATGAATCAAGTCATAGGTGAAGCATCTACTCATACAAAAACTTATCAGAGAACCTGAAAGACCTGCAACATCTGCCTGTCAAAAGCTCCACACAGCCCCAGAAATTCGAGACTTCTGATAACAGAACAAAGGCTTCCTCCTCTGCCTGTAGATTGCAACTACAGGAACATGAATTAAGCCTTGGGAGTAAGCCATGAGGAGCAAAATCTGTTATGGTAAAGAGACTGACTTAGGGAAGACATCTGGGTATAAACAAGTCCATAAAACACACCTGAGCATGTTAAAGAAGCAGTTCACTGTCCCTGTAATTCTCCTATTGTGACTGAAACATAGTGACAATTGGGAGAGATTTCCAATGACAGAAAGACAACTGCCACATCCAAGAAGGTGCTACATCCACATGCAAGAAGGGTAACAAGAAAAATTCAGGCAATTATGAGCTCAAAAATTCAGCCTCACATCAGCCTCCAGGATTATTACTAAAATAATACTGGAAGCCATTACCACATGAAGCAGAAAAAGGCAATCAGGAAGAGACAGCACAGACCTGCAAGGGTGAATAGTCCCTTATTGATCTGAATGCCTTCTATGATGAGATAGCACCAATTTTAAAAAAAGAAAGCTATGAATGCTGTGCATCTCAACTTCAGCAAGGCCTCTGACATGATCTCCCATAATGTCCTTATAACTTCATCATAAGATACAGACTGAATAACTGAAAAATGGTGGGTAGAGAATGAATCTGACTACTGGGCTTAGGGATGGTGATAACTGGTACAAAGTCCAATGGGCAGTCAATTTTCAGTGGTACCTCTCTGGGACTGATATGAGACATCAAAACTGTTCCCAGGATGATGGGCCAGCACGTTCAGCAAGCGTGTGAACAACACCAAAATGGGGCAGTGTCTGATACTGTGGAGGGCAGATCTCCATTCTTGAAGCTAAAATGTCCCTTACAACCTCAGTTATTCTGTGATTCAATTTATTCATCTTAAATTGTCATTTTTCAGCCTTCTTAATTTAGTCCTCTCTGTACTAAAAGACAAGGCAAAAATAGAGAGCTATTTATTGCTTTCATTTTACTCCATGTCTTCCTCTAGGGCTATGTAGTCAACTGGTAGAGAATACTGGAAATGTTATGACACTAACTTATTCCTGACATGTGCTTTCTCTTTTAAATTACCCAGTCTTTCCTAGTTTTAGAGGGGGAAAAAAAAAGATAACAAAAATCACAGATGGGCATCTAAAATGTGCTTCTTTTGAGTTATGTTCCACTACTATACTGTCATTGTAAACACTGACACAGTGCAAGACTAATGTTAGGCAAAATCTGCTACATGACCCTCTGCAGTGTTTTATGATTCTATTTTGAGTCAATCAAATTACAAGGTTTATTACAAGGAAATAGTCATAACAAGTCTGAAACACTTCAGATCACTGATTATACCCTTCACAAGAGGCAGATACAACATCTGTCATCCTTCAAAGCCTCTGCAGGATATGCAATTGATTTAAAGACTCCCTACTTTTCTTAGCAACTGAGATGCTTAATGTTCTAAATCCTTTAGTGTTGAAATCTATCTTCTATGCCTAACAAAATGTCCCTTTAATTTCCGAGGTACAATCTAATTTATCAGCTATAAAGAATAATGAAAAGCTTACAACACACTCTGCCCTAAACAGCAAGGGCTTTCTGCTACCTATGCCTCCAGAACATAGGACTCTTTTATACATGTCAATATTCTTGGCTATAATTGTCCAGGAAATTTTTTTTATTTGCTTGGAAACACTACAGTTATTAAAAATGGCACTTGAGCAACTGTGTTCAGAATTTGAATTCAGAGGACATTTATCTATAAGAATTTATCTGCACAAAGGACTGTTTTACCTTGTCCAACACTGAGCAGCCCACAGAGATAATACTGGCACAAAAAACCCCCGTCAAAAAAAAAAACCCAGCAGAAAACGTGTTTGCTATATTGAATTTCCCATATAAGTCTTCAGTTAGCTCTAAAATGCATAGCTCACAGAGAAAAACTGGCCCATGCCAAGGTAAATGTGAGGCTTGACAGAAATGTAAACAATCCATATCTTCACTCCCCTAGACTGAGGCACATTACTGCGCAACAGGAAATAAAACTTACTATGTAAAAAAACTATAGCCTTTTGTTGAGGTAAAATACTGCAGACTATTTTTAGATTCTGAGTCCTCCTGGATACACTGATAGGAAGAAAAAACACTTGGTCACAGCATAAATGGTAAGTCAAGAAACAGATTCAGACTTCACTGCTCTTCTAGCAGCTGAGATTATCAATGTGAACTTTGGCAATTTTGGCTTGTCAGCATTTTACTTGGATCTCTGAAGAGAAAACACATGCTTCACATAACAACTGGAATGTTTTTAAATTAGGACATTTCTGTTTGCAGCCAAATTTACTGGAGCGACTAGGAATTTTCAGTCTAAAGTTTATCCAGAATAGTCCTTCAAATCACAAGAACAATCATTCATCACCAGCATGTTTCTAGACACTGTGATTCATTGTTGAGGGATTTTCAGAGGATTTCTTACAGTACCATGCCTAATTTCCAAGCCTTTTTTTTTCTTTTAATCACAAATAATAGTATGGTCTGCATCCCCAAAGTTTGAGGCCAGTACAGTGAATCAGCAAGAAATACACCAGCAGTTAGGACAGCAAAAGACAGGTTTTTCAGAATTCTGAGGTTATTTAAAAGATAAAAAACAAACACCCACCCACAAGTCCACTATTTAACTTAACAGAATGGTTTTAAGGACAGTAACCCCTGTCTTGGAGTAGAGTACTGCTCCTTTCTGGAGTCAGAGACATTAGCATTGAAGGGTCATTTATTTGCCTCCACATCCAGAAGCTCAGGATTGTCTCCCTGAAGTCACAGTAAGCAGGAAGTCTATCACACTTGTAGCTACACCCACCTGCTCAAATTGGGAAAGCTTCAAATAGAATTTCCTATGATCCAAAGGTATTTGAAAGAAAAACCAAAACCTCACCCCACTTACAACAAAAGGAACATTCTACTAGAAGTCATCTGAAAGGCTGCATTGCAGATCTAAGGATATGCATTTACTGAGAGCCACTGAAATATCATGCAAGGAACAGTACTTAATATCTAGGATAGTAGTTTCTAGCATGACACTGACATTCTCTTATGTTATCCCCTATTTGCCTAGACAGAGGCTTCTGTGAGGAGGAGGGTGACAGCAGGCAACTCAGTTATCCATACTTCACATTCAATTCACACACACAGCAACTTTGCAATAAAACTTGAATCTGGCAAAAAGGCAAACACAATATGATTTTCATTCTACTGAGAGGAGTCATCAGATGACTGATGTGAGTCATCTTACTGAATCCTGATGAAATATGGGTTGACACTGACCTTCATTCAGACATTCAGATTTAGAATGCAGTGACCTCAATAGCATAACACCCAATTTTAGATACTCCACTGTTTTAGCTTGGTAGCAATAAAGTTGTATTCTCAACACTCTGTTCTTTAATAACATCATAAAACAAAGAGCAGTCAGATAATTCCTTACGGCAAATGATCCTATAAAAATCAGAGCCAACATACAATTCCATTCTCTGTTCATAAGATGACAGTAATTTAAGTAAGTGAAAAAATCAGGTAACAGATCAGGCCCTGAATGAACCAGCAGAAGATGGTTAAGCAATCAAATAATAAAGTTCTTACGTTATTCCTGACACTAAAAATAGTGTGCCAAAAATGGCACAAGTACAATTTCATGAGTAACTACATACCTGCTCTCCTTGCCTCAATGCAAGCAACACTCATTTCCTCTTTCAATTCATGGTTTTCGTTGGCTATGGCTTCACCCACTGTAACAAATCTTCCAACTGCCAGGTTAACTGCTTGGCCCACTCGCTGAATTGCTTGCAGAGTCTTGTCTGAACGCTTTGGTTTATCCTTATGATTAATAAGAGTAGTTATCTGCAAACAAGAAGAGTTATTTATTGGAACATTTTAACTTCAGCATTAAAGGTAAGTTTTGAACTGAACTCCGTAATAGATTTTTACCATACTTCAGTAATAACATCTAGTGTTGAGTCATAAGGTACCATTTAACTTCTCAGAGAATAAAAAAAAAAAAAAAAAAAAAGTTGCTCATCTGCTGTGATCTCAGTTTAACTCAAATGAACAGAAGAACTTTTACGTTTGCAGTATTAAAATAAGCTCCCTTGCATCTGAACAGCCTTTCCCACTACAGACACAGCCCTTCCCCCATTAAAGTATCCACATACTTGTAACTTAAACTCAACTGCACGAGTTTCTAGAATTTAGAGAAAGGTTGCCATTTAGATGCAAGTTATCAGTAAAACAATTTGCAAGGACATTCGTATTCTGAACTCCTGTCTTAGCTTCTCTGTCCACTACATCATGCTATACATTCCCTCTTGGATCACATGGACCAGAGATCAGCTGCACACCGGCCGCAGGAGACTGAAGATTTGTCCAAAACACCAAATATAAGGAAACAAAGAGATCCTTTCCCCACACAGAGGAGAAAGGCATGAATGCAGAAGCAGATTCTCAACCAAGGCATTAAGTAAATGTGAGAACGGTATGCAATCCTGCCACTCAGAAATAAGTAACTATAAACTACATTACAAACATGAGCTTTACGTTTTCGGTATGACAACTGTTTTCTTATGAGAAGCAGGACTGAAGTTAAACTCAGTAGTTTCAAACATCCTAAATCACCATAAAGGCCCAACAAGGATAGTCCTGCCTGTCTTTGCCTCCCACTGCCATGGCTGCAATTAATTTATCTGATGTGGGTTAAACCTGAGTTGTGGAGAAGGTGATGCTTGTTAATTTAGTTTTTCCCATAATCAGGTTTCCAGTCCAGTTCAGTGCATAGCTCTACGAATACTTCTGGTGGCAAAAGGGAAAAGGTACAGACTGGAGAAAGATGGGCAGAAGTGCTCCTTTCAGCAGCAGTGTGATTTTAAAATGCCCACAGAACTCTACTGTAAGCCACATTCCCAGGTGCTCAAGGATGTCTGCTGAGAGAATCTCAGAAATACATTATTACTTAACTGTCTGAACACCTCAGCTATATCAGCTTAATCACAAATGTCTTTGCCATTCCTCAAAAAAATATAAACCATCATTTACTCATACATTCTCCTACTAGTCAAGCCTATGGTTGGACAAGAGCATACAAGCTGTACCTGTAATGCTCACATGAGATCCAAGGACATAGTAGGAAGCAATGTAGGAACTGTTCTGCTTCATGATGTGATCAATGCCCAGCGCTTACCCTTCAGATGTCACTGAGTTGTCTTTCTGGGGAAAAAAAAAATGGTGGTTTTCAATACCTTTCTGAGGCTAGTTTTGAATGCCAGGAGTTCGTTTAGCCAAGTGTCCAGTATTAAACTCTTTGCAATGGAAAATGTCAATACTTCATAGAGTGCTTTGCACACCAAAGGAGAGAGGGGGAAAAAAAAAAGAGAACAGTGCTGTCCTAAGGAAGAACTGCTATGGGAATGGAAGAATATTTTGTCCTGGTACAAAACATCAGTACAGAAATGCTTAGTCCATCCACTGCCTTCTTATATATGCCCTATTTTTCCAACTTGTACATAAGCCACAAGGTCTAAAGGAAGGTCACTTACTATAATTCATACAACAAATCCGCCTGTGTAAGAGTTCCCCTGTAAGAAGTCACCAAGCTTCAACCCCAAAGCCTATGAACCCCAGATGCCCTTCCAGTGCAAAAATCTTCTTATGACGAAAACAGTCTTATTACTTTTACTACTATTATTTACTGAGCAAATAATTCAGATTCATTTTAGAGGAGGAATGACATTCCTCAAAACACACAATTACCACCACTTCAGTGGAAATTCAGATCAATACGAAATTGACGGTACAACCAGCTGCACTATGCAGCTCTCCTGAATTCTTGCATTGTAGATGCTTCAGGTATACCAAATTAACAAATACCCAAAATCTAACAATCCCAGCTGGTGGATTCTTGATTAGGCATGGCCAGCAAGCCTACTGAGGAGCATTAGTCCAAACGTTGAGGAAGACCAATTTGATAGAAGGTCACTACTTTCTTTCCTCAATTGCTTTTCAAGCAAACAGCAACCCAATACTGGGTTAATATTACATTCATACAGTTAATGACTTCTCATAAGTGTATATAAAATAACACTGGCCTAAGACAAACTGCAAGTTTACATACTGGCTGCAAGTTTACCTCCTACAGCATTTCACACAAGTAAAAGTTTAAATATGTTCTGCATAACCCTGAAAAAAAATGCATATGCAAATCACATTGCAGAGTAAAAGGAATCCCACTGTCTCTTAAAAATCACCAAGGGCATTTATTTTAATTCCTATGTTACTGTAGAGGTATGTAAATAATAAAAATCATGAAGATGTCACAGCTTAAAAGGTTTTATTAAAATCCTACAAAACACTTTCAAAAACATGAGTGCCTTTTACATTTCTATCCTTTCTTTAGCACTCTCTTCAGAGGGCATCATAAGTTTTGCAGAAAAAAACCCAAACCCATTCCCCCCCCCCCCTTCCCCCCCCATCTTCCCATGAGGTTAAGCAAGAATCAGGAGCTGTTTTCACAGCTCCATCACCAGTGTCATAAAGTTCAGCAAGGCCAAATGTATGGTCCTGCACTGGGCCCGGGACAATCCCCAGTATCAATGCAGGCTGGAAGATGAATGGATTGAGAACAGCCCAGCAGAAAATGACTTGGGGTACTGGTGCTTGAAAAACTGGGTGTGAGCTGACAACATGTGCTCGCAGCCCAAGAGCCAATTGCATTCTGGGTTGCATCAAAAAATGTGTGGTCTGCAGCTCAAGGGAGGTGATGTTCCCCCTCTCCTGCAGTCTGGTCTGGTGAGACCTCACCTGGAGTGCTGCATCCAGCTCTGAGACCCCCAACATAAGAAGGAGCTGGACCTGCTGAAGTGAGTCCAGGGGAGGGCAATGAAGATGATCAGGGGGATGGAACATCTCCTATGAAGACAGGCTGAGCAAGCTGGGGTCATTCAGCCTGGAGAAAGGTCCAGGGAGACCTTATAGTGGCCTTTCAATATATAAAGGAGGCTTAGAATAAAGATGAAGAAAGACTTTTTACCAAGGCCTGTAGTGACAGTAGAAAGGTCAATGGTTTTAAATTAAGAGGGTGGTTTTAGATTGGACTTAAAGAGGAAATTTTTTACCACAAAAGTTGTGAGGCACTGAAACAGATTCCCTGACTTGTGGACGCCCCACCATCTTCAAGGTTAGGTGCTTTGAACAACCTGGGGCTTTGATGAGGCTTTGAGCAACACAATCTAGTGGAAGGTATTCCCACCCATGGTTGGGGGAGTGGAACAAGATAGTCTTGAAAGGTCCCTTTTAACCCAAATTATTCTGTGATTCTATGACCTACTTTAGACACTCACTGGAGTAGCTTGTATATGTAAATTAAACTCAGCTTGGATGCCTATGGTTATACACAGCAGCAGAGGCTTTGCAAATACCTCCTGGAATAATGAATTCTTAGATAGATAATATAATTTTTTTCTCAGACTGGCTAACTTAGGGCCACTTAGTTACTATCTTAACATTGGCATGGAGGGAAGTTTGTCGAGCTCTCTTTTTTTTTTTTCAGAAAAGTCAAAAACTATGGATTGCCAGTCAAAAACAACCATTGTGAAAAAACTAAAACAGAGGTTTGTCAAGAAGATTGAAACATATCACAACAAACAGCTTCACATAACACCTATTTCAGATGTCATCAACATTATGTAGCAAATGCAGCCTGTACTGATATTAGAATTGCATAGGATGTGTGCTATAAAAAAATAACAAACAGCCCTGAAATAGGAGTAGGTAGGTCATGATGAAAGAGATAGAGAAAGATATAAAATATAGATCAGCTAAAGCAAAAAGGGCTGGTCTTGGTTCTAGAAACATGAGTTAGACATAAACCAAATGTAAAATGCTTAAGAACGTCAAAGGCACAAGCAAAGCTGTTCAGACACAGATGGGTTTCTCATAACCTGCCACCTGCAGAAAACATCGCTATGCAAACAAGGAGAATGTGTAATTCTGAGAAATATCTTACTCTTTCTATCATGAAGTGTTAAGAGTGACAGGTGTATTTCTAGCTATGCCCTCCATTTCAAATAAAGTTTTGGAGAAGCAGAGGCAATAGCAACTGCAGTTTCAGATTCTTTTCAAGACTTAATCAAGCAGGTAATTACCAATCAGTTAAAAAGCTAACAAACAAGATATTAACTGAGCAAGGAGAGGAATTTCACTAGCATGTTAAGTGACAAACTGAAGGAACCTGAGATGCTAATAAGCAGCACAAAGATTATTTAGCAGTTCAGACCATATTTAAAAAAAAAAATAAATCCCTAGGCAGTGAAATTGAAGGGTTGTTGGGAAGAGGTACACAATACTACTTGCCTCAGGACACAAACACAGCAATGAGCATTAAAAGGCAAATAATCTAGGGTTCTACAGTAAAGAATAAACAACGTTTTTGCTCCTGGCTTTTAAACATTTAAAACAAGGATAAATTAGACAGGTTAAATGGAGAAAAGCAAAGACCCACGAGAAACCTAACAAGGAACTTTGTCCCCAGCAATTATCTTCCTCCAAAGAAACCCTAAGAACCTATAAAAAACTGAACTAGTAAAATGTGCAGCATTCAAGATATTTCAGATTACCAGGAATTGCTTTTCCCCAGCAGCCCATCCAGCTGCAACCAGACCAGAACTGCTATTGTTGAGTTTCTTTCATTTTTTTTTTTTTTCAGTTAAGGAAACCACTTTAAGTCCCAGAACATTATCTAAGCCCTCCTTTAAAGCTTAGCACCTCCCAAATATTTAATCTGTTGTATTCTGATCATGTATTACCCAGTGACCAACATCTGTGGTATTTGGACAGGAGCTAACCGCTGAAAA